TGACATCATAATTTTGGCAAACGACAAGATTACTATGACGGAAACCAAGAAGTTACTGGCAAGTAAATTTAGAATGAAGAACCTAGGAGGAGCTAAGAACTTTCTGGGCATGGAGATCGAGAGAGACCGACAACGAGGCAAGTTATGGATAAGCCAAAACGCTTGTATACGACGAATACTAAACAGGTACCATAGAAGCTAATCCTGCAGATACTCCGTTGGATCAACATCAGGCATTAAGCAAAGAAATGGCACCGAAGACACTTGAAGAAATATACAGAGGCTTTTGGCACGTCTCAGAGACTAACTACGCTGTTCTCTTCTCTAATCCTTTTCAATCCTGTGCCATCATTTTTCATTTTAAATTGACTGTTAAGGAGCGTGCAGAAAAGCGCACTACACATATATCCATCCGGACGAGACGTAGCATAACTACAAATAAAAAATTTCAAATACCAATATCTTTTTTATTAGACTTCTCAATTGAGTGTTTTAAGTATGAAAATGTACTGCTATGCGGTTCGCAACTTATCCTGGTATTATTTTGTGCATAAAAGCTAATAAAAAAATTACAAGGGCAAAAACTACACTGAGAAAAATGACCGATTAAATATAATCAGATAATCCAATTACATAATAACAAACGGATATATCCAATTAAATTATACAGGGTGATTCAGACCACTCGTACAGCCCCTTTATTTCGGAAATAGAACATTTTAGAGAAAAATGTTTCAGGCAAAAGTTATACGGTTTTAAAAGGGCTATATAATGAAAATATAAATTTTCGAAAAAATAAATCTTTTATGGTTATATAGAGGTCGCTGTCATTTTTTTTAAATGGAACTCCCTTGTATTGTTTATTATACTATCTTATTCTACTAATTAATATAAACAACTTTGTCTGAAACATTTTTTTATTTGCCTAATACTTTTTGAGACATTCAAGACAAAATTTATAACTTTTTACATGTTTAGCTTATAATATCTCAATAACTGTTTGTCGGAGGGAAAAGTAGTACAGGACTTTTTTACTTGATTTAGTCTCAGGAATATGCTGTTGCAATAGTGTTTCAATTATTGAAAATTTTTGTGTATGTAAATTTTATGTGTTACAATACATAAACCATTGCAATAGCATATTCCTGAGATTAAATCAAGTAAAAAAGTCCTGTACTACTTTTCCCTCCGACAAACAGTTATCGAAATATTATAAGCTAAACATGTAAAAAGTTATAATTTTTCTCTTGAATATCTCAAAAAGTAGTAGGCAAATAAAGAAATGTTTCAGACAAAAGTTGTTCATATTATTTAGTAGAATAAGATAGTATAATAAACAATAGGGAGTTCCATTTAAAAAAATGACAGCGACCTCCATATAACCATAAAAAATTTATTTTTTCGAAAATTTATTTTTTCATTATATAGCCCTTTTAAAACCGTATAACTTTTGCCTGAAACAGTTTTCTCTAAAGTGTTCTATTTCCGAAATAAAGGGGCTGTACGGGTGGTCTGAATCACCCTGTATATCCGATGAAATATATGATCGGTTTTTTAATTAAATTTCATCGGTAACTGGATTTTGTTGGAAATTTCATCAGATGTATCTATAATTTAATCGGGAAACGTAATCGGAGAAATTAACCATCAGAAATACTATTTAATAAGTTTATCCGATGAAAATTTTTCTCAGTGTAGGTATATTTGACTATGTCGATAAAACAGATGGCTGAGGGATTCTCTTAAAATAGTGTTATATGTATGTTTTAGCATGCATGAAATATCAATGCTATTAAAGCTCTTGTTTGTTTCCATTAACGACAGAGTTCCAAAATTTGAATGAATACTGATTTGTGTATAATTCTTTTATTGACGGTATCGTAGATACAGTATAAAATTGTATTATAGCGTGATTGATAATATAAGAAAAACACGATTAGAATATCAAATACACATCATGTGCGAAGAGCCTCAATAGCGGCTTTTGACAATGATACACTAAAATAAATACAATTTTTCTGAACGTAAATAAGTATATAAAATTCAAATCAGTCTAAGGGAAATTCTTTCCATATATATTGTATATACCCGATGGTATATACAATATATACGGAATACCGTATACGAGGCCTTGACGATATATATAATATACCTACATACAAATTAATTTCTCACTCTATTCTTATAATTAATTCGCGATACAGATCAAAATATCTCACCACATAAATAAGTTGACAAACCATCTGTCATGTTGATATGTTTATGAATTAAAATCATATCTATCTTTCAATGATTAATTAATGTATATATTAATTAATACAATAATTTACAATAAGCCCATTTTTTATAGAACACTTGCTAAGAAACTATGCTTATTTCGCGATTAATCGTCGTAATCGTGATTTTGAAAAATATGAGAATAAAATATACAGATATTTTCTCTCTAAACGAAATTCTGAATTCAAGAATAATTTAAATTTGCTATTGTATGGTTTTAGTATAATTATACGTCCGAGAGTGAAGCAAATAAAGAGCAGAATAACACAAGCACTTGCATGAAGTTTCGATGGAATGCAATCGTCTTAAATATCGCTAAACATTCAAGAGTACAATAAGTCACCAGTAATATTTCTTGCACATATTATCTAGCCACAGTGTAATTGCAATCAAGTTGTACGAGAATATGCGAAATATACGCGGTGAGTACGTACACGCATTTACTTGGTCGAGTAGATAACGTACACGCGTTTACATGTTAATCCCTGCACACGAGGAGTCGCAGCAATATACAAATAGAATCAGTTTAAATAACTAAAATATCCAGAAAATTATATGTACTATTCTCAAGTTTATCCCTTTATAAAATACGTTTGTTATACATATATTATGCGGTTTCGTTGCTGCATATTTTCAGAAGATCCAAATGTCTTCCACGTACGGAATATACACGCACAGTATATTAGCAAATACTTAGAACTTCGTGGTACTCTTAATCACCTGCGCTCAGTCATGATGGATGTCTCATGAATGCCATTGTCTTATTTGCATGGGTAATATTAAAGTAATAAAAATTAGTTAATTAGTTAATTATGCAAAATGATCTATCTATAAAACAACGTACAGGCTTCACGAGTAAGTGCTACTTTATCACATATTAGTGAAAATAAATTATACTTAATAACACACTGAGTAATAGTCGTAAGTCATAAAAATGTAAAAATGACCAAGAGAAGAATATTAAGATTGTTATCTTTTCTGGGACACGAGTTGCGTTTACGGAAGAAACGCGCAGGAAAGTTATAGATCGCACAGGTAGCTTTATTTTTTACATACCCGAAATCTATTCAACGATAGAATCTTTATCATTCAAGCCGATGATACGCGGTATAAAAAGTACAAAATTTGGCAGGTTTAGTCTATAGAGAGCCTTCGCAAGGATTTATTAAATGGATAGATAAATACTGCTCGTATGTATATTTGTTCAGTCTACAATTCTCTTGCCGTGGAAGAGAACCGTTTTCTCTAGCAATAAGTTATAAATGTGTAAAAAATATTGACAATAAAAATGTATTTTCATACAAAAGAAGAAAGTACTAGTAAGAAAAGTTATGCCGAATAGAATGTTGTTTCCACAAACGCGATGTAATGCACATGTCCCACTTATGGTTCTTCAAAGAGACAAATTTCTTGATTGTAAGAACATTTCCCGTAGCAGAAGAGTATGGTCCGTTATGTATAGAAATACAAATTCGTTTTCGCCGAGGTAATGCGCCGGTAATCTATTAGCTAAATTTATATTGAGTTTCTTTATGCTACCTTATGTCTACATATGAGCTGAATACGAAGAGGCGTATGAAGAATAAGATACGATTTTACGATTATTGCGTATAAGCCAAAAATGTTCACTCCAAGACTTCGGTCCTGTTCTCGAATCTCGAGGAATTTTCGTTGAAAATGTGATTGACCCGGAGGTCTTAGAAGGCTGCCGAAGATTGTTGCTCCTTTTATCCTTCTCACACCCACTTACTCACGCTTTACAAGAATATGTAATTGTATAACTGTCGATTTCTTTTTTCCCTAAACTACGCTCGTGTTCTCCTACGCGTCTTCCTCGGCACACTTTTATCGCCCTTATGCAATATATTACAATTTGATTCATTTATACACATACATAAAGGTCCTTGTACCTTGCGGTATATCGAACACACGTTTGCCTCGGATATAAAGAACAACATTCATTTCTCGTTGTTACACAGCTTGAAAATATTTTCATCGTACTTTAGCATTGAGAACGAATTCACATCGGCATACATGGATATCTACAAATTTTTTTTACCTTTTTCGTTTTTTTAATCGTTTAATTTAATATCTTGGCTTTTATATTTAATTGTCAGGATTAGACAGGTACTACTATATATCGCACCACAAAGGCATGACCTTTGTTTGTTAACCCTTTCAGAGGCAGTGGGAGTATACTTCCTACATATTCTTCTGTAGTTTTTTTAATGTTACTTATATATTTTACAATAACTATGCATAACGTTTCATTTTTTGGACTTCTAAGGACTTAAACTTCATAATGATGAACATAATTTGTACTAATTTACTCAGCTGTCAGTGTTAATAAACAGTTTAAAATGAAAAAACCTGTTTTTTTCAAATTAAATTTGGCTACTTGTAAATGCGAAGAGCTAGGATGCTGAATATTTTTATACATTTTTACAATTAGACATTAAATACTACGGTATATTTTTATTTCAGAATTTTTCGTACAGTGAATTTTGAAAAATTAATTTTGCAAGTTAAAAAATTAATTTGTCTAAAGTAAATTTTTTATTTTGCAAGTAAATCTTTAATTTTGCAAGTTAAAAAATTAATTTGTCTAAAGTAAATTTTTTTATTTTGCAAGTAAATCTTTAATTTTGCAAGTTAAAAAATTAATTTGTCTAAAGTAAATCTTTTTATTTATAAATATTATTTAAAAAGTTAACATATTTTATAGTAATAAATATTTTCCTATTTTTTATACAACATTTTTACAATATACAATATTAACCATTGCTGCATAGTGTTACTCTAGTAATTTATATCATCCAAGTTTATTATTTCAATAAATCAAATTTTTCATGTATTTCTTTGGCATGTTTAGTATTACCAGACTACTAAAAGGTTTCTCTAATAAATCAACTTTCAGAGTTATATCTTAAATAATTAGTTATTAATAAATATATACCAATTATTTTTAGAGAAGTAATTTATTTACATAAAATTTGTCCTCTAACCTATACTTCAAAATCATGATCTGGGAATTTTTAAGATCTAATTACAAATCCGATGTAAAAAATATAAACTTCGAAATGGCGGATCCAATATGATGGTCAAAAATATCAAGCCGGATTTACTTGAAACTTGCTATTTTGGAATTTCGAACTAATTGTGAATCCGATGTTAAAAATTAAAAACAGCTAATTTAATACGGACAAAATTATCAAAATCGATTGTCAAAGCTTGAAACTTGCCGTTTAGAGGTTTTTGAGGTTGTTGATTACGAATTCGATATTAAACTATATAAACTTCGAAACGAGAAATCAATAATAATAAAAGCTCCCGAATGACAAGTTTGAAGCGAATCCGGTTAACTTTGAAAATGCCGTCCGTCATATTGGGTCTGCTATTTTGAATTTTTATTAAATGATACATTATTTGTAATCAGCGATCTCAAAAAGTATATTTATGATTGTACAAACTGATCAAAACATCTAAAATTATAAATTTTCAAATTCTGACTGTAGATTCGTATTCAGCATCCCGAAAAATAACTACTAAAGATGTTGATAAATGATTCAGTAGAAAATGTTCCCCTGAAAGGGTTAATCTGCATGATTTCATTGATCGCTCATTGTATTCAATCTGTTTAAGTAATCAAAGTACATATATGTGTCATGAGAGGATCAATGTCCGCAGAAATTCAAGGGACAACACCTTCGAGACGTGGGTTTGCAGATCCTAGCACGCAGACATAAGCCTTGCACAGTAACATAAGCCTTTTTAATCAACTCGGCCGTACATAGGTACGATGTTTTTCTCTATCCAGAAATCGCAATTCGGATAGCCTTTCTCGAGTAGCGTGTCCTGACCGACAACTAGGATTCGCTTCGCGCCAGATTGATCAACCTGCGCGACCTCGCCATGCCACACGTAATGATTGAATAGCTGTTGCATAGCCGACACATGTCTCTTCTCCTCGGGCGTAACAGCAGCGTAGGTCCCCAGGATGGCCGCGGCGTCGCTATCAGGATCGGCCAGGTGTTGTCGGCGCGGTTGAGTGGCAACATAAAACGGTATGTTGGTTTTCATCCTGGCGAACGTCAGCAACGGACATACTACACGGATATCGGAGATCATTGTGATTAATCCTTTCAGCGTAGCATTATAGCGTCTGGAAAATAATTACAATAGGTACGCATTATATTGATTATAATAGAAAGATTTTTTAATAATTAAATACTCTACATCTTGAGGAGCGTTAATTGTAACATTCGCTTGCTCACCTTATAGCTTCATCTGCAAAGCCCGAAGTACCGAGCAGAGATTCTCGTATAATGTTCTCGACTTGTGTCGCGTTGAGAGTGACATTCGGTGAGAGATATCGTGATGGGGTGCCGGAATGTGCGGTGGTACCCATCACCACTTTTACCATAAGATCCTTATTTGCCAGAGTCTGGCCGACGTGCTCCTGAAGAATCATGCCGTCCAAAACAAGCCATTCGTGCCTTCTTTCCATGTAGGGAGTTCCGCCTTCCTTCATTTCTGGTAGACCCATGTTGCTCACGTACCATGTCTCCGGCACGGCGTCCATGAGCTCTTCAGCGCTCTTGCGTTTGAGGCAGCTGGCAGCGCTGCAGCGGATCGAGTCAAGGAACGGTTTGTTTATGTCTTCAGACCTTCTCAGATCTCTACCCGGGAAAATTGCGCTACCGCTGGATACCCACACCTTCGAGAAAAAACTCTTGGCTCGGCGATAGCCGATCAATGTCGTAACGAGAGTGCCACCCGCCCGATGTCCCCACAGAGTAACGGACGACTTGTTGCCACCGAAGTTCTCAATGTTTAACTGTACCCATTGAAGGGCTGCTAGGATGTCTGATAATCCGTAGTTACCCGAAGTTGGAGGGTGGGACGCTCTGGTGAGACTTTCGGTCGCCAAAAATCCGAAAATTCCCATTCTAGAAGAACGTAACATTTTAATTGTACCTAAATATTTTTTTAATTATTTCTAGGTTAATAGTGGGTTAACAGTCGCGTTAACAGTGAACTAGTCGACAAAAGATTGATTATGTTGTTAAAATTCTGACGACAGAGAAAATATTTTGATTGATGAAGGCAGAAATACTTATTTAAATAGTATAGTATTGTATGTCCAGTATAATCTACCGGAAATTTGGCCGTACGAATACAATGTCGCGAACGCGTGCTAGCTTGGCCGAAGGTTGCATCACTCCGGGCGAACCACCGCTCAGCGTCTCGGCGCCGATCATGACGACCACAGGCAATGGGGAATTGTATCCGACCATTGGTGTAAACACATCGAGATAGAGGCAATCCTCGACACCGTCCATACGACCGGATATTTCACGCTGCCAGCAGCTCTCGGAGGTGTTGTGAGCCAGGTAAGTGCCGTTCCAGCAATGCTCGATGCGGCTCAGAGATTCGGCTGGCTGCAAGCGACGGTTGTCGACTGGTGGCATCGCGTATGGAATGCCACGGAACGCGTAGGCGCCATCCTCGAGAATGCCCTGCACCGGCCCACACGACGTCACCGCTTCAATGTACCTCCCGTTCTTCAGCGGCTGGGTAGAAGCCCTCCTGGGCCCAGCGCACGCAATGGAGATGATAACGATAACGCTGAGCAGGATCAGCAGGGTCACTACTATCGGCCAATTAAAGTATACATTAATTTCACGATTAATATTATGATTAATATAAATAAATATAGGGCATGTCCCAGACCTAATGCACCATCTGTTAATAACAAATTCCTAAGATTATTTTGACATAATAATTTTAATATCAAAATTTGGCTATAATAATTTTTAAGTGAGAAGTGTTCAAAGTTGACAAATTAAGTTGTTCGAAACTTGCCGTATGCTCAGGCGTATCACATTGTGTGTATACAGTAATGAAGGTGTTTTCAAGCGCATCAATTCGGACAATACGTATGCAAAATTCACAGACTTCCGTATATAGAAGTCGGTGGCAAATTATATCACTTTCGAGGAAAGATCTGATACGTTCAAAAACACCTTCACTACTGTGCAATGTGAAATTTGTGTACCTGAGCATGCTTATTTCAGACAACTTGATTTGTCAACTTTGAACACTGCAAATGCCACAGCATTTTGGCATTAAAATCTTCGTCTCATAAAATAATCGCAGGAATCTATTATTAACGGGTGCATTAAATCTAGAACACCCTGCATATACCATTAAGTATACCGCAAGATAAATTTTGTACCCGAAACAACCACGTGTTTTCTGAGCGTGGATATACAAATTATCAAGGGCTTTGGTGGCTCAACGCGATCTGTTCCGTCCTCTCCATCGAGTCGTACGGTTTCCATGCCGTCGTCATTGGCAATAGGGCTCTTCTCGGTAACGCCGTCGTCGAGTGTCTCGACGCTTGCTAACCCAGCGGCGCCAGTCTGTCTCAATTCGACATCGGCTTCCTGGAAGGGAAGCATTACTTATTGTTAGAGAAATAAATAAATTAAACTATGATTATTAAATTACAATTTTATACAATTTATTTCTACTGCCCGTGAAACAAAAATGGTAATTATTTAGATTAGCACACCCACCTCCAATAACCTTGGGCTTGAT